TATTTAATGCGTTGAATCATTTTCCAGCAATTTAATTTAATTTTTTGTATGGAAACCAATGATTAACGTTACATTTTCCTTTAATGGATAAAGGTCGCGGTAACTCAAAGGATTATCAAGTAGCGTATTAGTTGACCTCAGAAGCGAAATTTCATATAATTGATAAGGATCACCAGACGCGTATCCGTCATACGAACCATTTTTCTATTCATGCGCATGATTTTACAACGCAAGACAATATACATTTATATCATAATGGACACGAAGTTTCTCGGAAGTCTGAGATCTGTTATCCATGACACGCAAGGCCAAAGTAACGTTCGAAGTTACGCCGCGAAACGTCAGAGCGGAAAGAAGTTGAAGCGTTTAATAGTGTGTATGTACATACATATATACACACGTAATATACACGATGCAACTCGACGCACATGTGAAAATACATATATGCAATTTGTGCACTCGCCTGCGTACTCTGGCATTTTGTCGCACAGGTGGTTGCATCATAGATGGACGATAAAACGCATTTGCAAACTGTCGTTGTAAAGATTTACACGCGTCTGAGAACTTATTCCCTTCCTCCGTAAAAATGTTCACTGAATGCCCTTTTCAAGAAAAAGGAAAACCAATGTTGCAATTAGAATTCAAGGTTAATTATTAATTACAGAAAAGATTAAAGTTGAAGGAGCAAAGGTGGCAAAAATGGATAAAATGAAAAGAGGATTTCAACAAGGAAATATTGATTTGGAAATATGAGAGAAAATATGAGAGAAAAATTTAAAGCACACACGATATTAAAACATAAACATAATGTAATAAAAATTTATATTTTTCGAAATTGTTAGCTCTAAGACAATTATAACAATTATAAAAATCGCAAGCATATACAATATTAATAATAAATATTTTAATGCATATAATTTGATTTTATGTTAATAATACAAGAAAATTTATAAGAAAATAAATAACAATAAAAAAGTAATTAAAATTTACATTAAAATTATTGCATAAATTTTCTTTCTCGAAAAAAAAAAAAATTACAATCTATTTGATAAGTTTGAATGTAAAGAATGGCAGGCAAGACTATTGAACAATGCCAGGCAAGACTATCTCGATGATTTCTTCCTTGCACCACTATACGTGAAAGAGCTCGCGGGGGTTTTCATGAGAGAGTATATGGAGCAGAAACGACCGCCCGGCGGGCACATCAGGACACCTTGGATCAATACGGCCAAGAGAGAACGAAACTAGTAGTGGTGTAAGGAGTACGAGGAGGAATGAGCTAAACCGAGCAAGGTGAGCCCGATGAACAGCGAGAACGTATCCTGGCGCGCGAGGATATGGTACTTGGTCTCGTGATCTTGTCAGAAATACATCTCAAGATGAATATGTAAGATATACATGTATAGCATATGTGAAAACCAGAAAAATTTCACGGCACACACAAAGAACCTCCCGCAAAGTCGGCCTACGAGTGGAAAACGAGATTACTTCGTTATCTCTGACCTTTCAGAAATCCGACTGCTCGTTTCTCGAGATGTTACAGAAAATTGCACTTCCTAAACACATTTGATGAACGGTATCCGAACGAATTGCAATATTGTAAATATTGCGAGAGAGAGAGAGAGAGAGAGAGATGAATTTATATATTTATAAATTTGAGAAGAATTGAATTTTTCAGGTCAGAATCTGAGAAGAATTGAATTTTCTAGGTCAGATTTCAATGCGAATAGAATTGTAGTATTTTTTTCTTCATATATAAGAACAATTTTACATTATAATAGTTGGATTTTCTATTAAATTACTTTTTAATGAAAAAGCAGTGATTTGTCCATTGACCATTGTCGCATTCAAGGCATTGTCGACAGACATTGCAATATCATCATTTGTATATACGAATAGATGGAGTAGTTGATTCATTAGCTCCTTCGATTAGCTATTATCGATTAGCTCGCTTGACAGGAAGCAGAAGATCTGAATGAACAAAATGTCACGTAGGTCGTGATAGGGTGGTACGAAAAGAAAAAAGAAGAAGAAGACAGGCCGGCAACGGGTGGCGCATGCGTCACCGTGTATATGCGCCCGTGTGATGGTAACCGGAACGACGTAGAAGTATAGATTGCCGAAGCGAGCACGGCACGGACTCAGTCCTCTAGCAAACTTCATCGAGGACTTGTTGAACTTGTGCGAACCTACCTATCGAGGGGTAAACTAATCCTGCCCGGCCGAGGTGTAAAAGCGTTCCAGGCAAGCTGAGCCAGGGCGCAAGAACGTTTCGTAAGTGGATTATGGCTTAAACTCATTAATAGAAAGGGTGCGTCAAATATTCAGGATGTCACGATGATATAGGCGTTGCGTTATGGGTGTTTTATCGAAATGTCCTGCATATCATGTTTTTCGATTTTTCGTTTGAAGTTTATAAACGTGACGTGTGAAGACCCTCTACGTGTTTTTCATAAAGCTCAGTTACAGTTTTAATCGTTAAAATATAATTAAAATAGAATTAGATTAACTGCTTTATAGTATTAAAATTAAAACTTAATATTTAGAAATCTTTATGATCCAATTAGTTTGACATAGATCAAAGAATAATTTGAGTCATAGAAACTAGAACTAAAGATTTAGCTATATAAATAAAATTTATATTAAAATTATCTATTGCTGTTTTATCTTTAACTCATTTATATATAAGTGACATGTATTACATATTGCGAAGAAATTTTATCGCAAATAAAAAAGACAAGAAATAGATCAATGAAACAGGAATTATCGATCATGTACTCATATAGGTTATTGCTAGTATTGACCTCTGATGTAACTCATATCATATGTCAAGCAAATTATAAATTGCTTTTAATCCTTGACTAGAATATGAATGTAGTTTGTGATATTTCTTAATTTTTTATAAATAACTTAATGCTAAAGCATTTAATTTCTTATAACATACGGAATAAATCTCTTTATAAAACATACACACTCCACACATGTGATTTTAATAAAAAAATATTCGAGTTAAACAAGCAATCAATTTCTCTCGTGTGTTTTAATAATAATTACTTAATTTTAACCTCGCGATAGAAAATCATCATGCAACATTTAAGCTGCAGTAAATCTCAATAAAAATAGACCATGATGTAAGAAACAAATTAAAGAAATAAAATTACGAAAGAAATAAATAATAACACATCGATGGCTTGTATAAAGAATGCTCTTATCGCTTTTGCATTATGAAATCATATTGCAACTGCGAAAAGATCACTTTAAGAAAAGTAGTAAAAGCATTACATCATCGGCATCTGATATGATAAGCCATCGTGTAAAACGAGTTCGATGCTAACGGCTAACTACGTCTCTTACGGATCGCTGCTTGCAACAAAAACAGTCAAGATAAACAACATAAAAATAATAAAATATACTCGCAAGAAATACAAGAGAAAGAAGATCAAGCGAAACTCATTTCAATCTAAACGGTAACAAATTCCTTCCCGTTTTGCGATTTAAATATTCTTTTTTTATTTTCAATATCTTGTCTTTGCAAGCTGTAAATGTAATTTAATATTATATAGAATCTTTTAGACGAATCTACCGCTAGCTATATATTTTCAAAAGTTTCGTATTAAAAGACTTATGCTAAAAAGAACTAAATATGCTAAAAAGAACTAAATTTATTTCTTACATCTCTTTGTGAATTAAAAGAATTTTTCAGAATATTTTCAAAATTTTCGAAAATTTCTATCGTTAAACTTATAAAATAAATTTCACGCGCTTAAAAGGTACATTTGAATTGATATAAAAATTTATTTCTTCTCAATTATTTTTAATTGAAAATAAAAAATACACACTATATATTTGCGCAATAATATAATAATAAATTAACACCATTTTGCAATACTTTTTATTTTTTATTTATCATTTCAAGATTTTTTAATAATGTTCAATTATGCTTTTTTAATAAATTTTAATCAAAAATTCAACGCGACATAAACAATTTTCCTTTCTCGGGTTGATTACAGAACGCCAAACATCAGTACATCTCCAACGGCATGAAGGCGTATGCATTGATAACATTAGTGTTTGTAGCAAACACAGCATATATCGGTGTCGAAGCATGGGGTGGTCTCTTCAACCGCTTTAGTCCTGAAATGTTATCGAATCTTGGCTACGGCGGTCATGGAGGTTATATAAATCGTCCTGGTCTATTGCAGGTATTAAGAAAAGTACATTGTTCTTTAAAAAAGTAATGTTTCTTTGCAATAATTATACTTTGTCCTAAAAATGTCATAAAGACATGTAAAATATTTTTCAATTTGTCAAACATCTTCTCACATATTTTATTAAAATAGAAATCCAAAATATGATCATTAAAATATTCTTTGAATTTTTTTTTTTAACAATTTAGAAATCTAAACAAAATTTTTCAAATGTTCTTTACTTTAAACGTGTTTAGATATTATATAGATGAGAGTTCAAAAGTATTTCTTCTAATCTTTCAGACGTTCTTCAAATCTTTTTTAATAAACTAATAAACCATCTCAAAAAATATCTTAATCTTTCAGATACTCTTTGAACATCTTTTAGTTAATAATAAAAATCTAAAGAACCTTTAACTTTGTCTATCGACGCTCTTCCGAGTTTTTTTAAACGCCTTTTGAACTTTTTATTATTTGATTTAATTAGCAGCATCGTGCCGCAATACGGGTCACGTACGATCGATACTTCATTTACGAGCTGCGTGCACTTGCACTTGCATAATCGCAAAAAAAATTCTCCAGTGACTCCATTTATTTTGATTTTCTTCGTCAACGCTCGCAAATTAACCGCGAGATTGCGATTCGGAGATTGAAAAGAATTACATCTCCTCTTCTCCCGCAGCACAATATTTGTGAAATTACTGCTATAGAAACTTTTATTACATTTCAACTGCAGTGGAATTATAGCTTCCGAGTTATTCAAGTCAAATAATCAGCGCAAAAAAAATCAAATTCAAATTTCAAATTGTAACTTTATTTGCTTTAGATAATTAAAATAGATAATTATTTTCAATCAAATATTTTCGTCGGACCTATAATTAGGCAAATCATACAAAATTTCTCTTATTATTATTAAATATGGAGTAATATGTTAATATTGCGATAATATTTTCTCGTAATAATATTTTCTCGTAATAATATTTTCTCAGTTGTATATATTTTATTACATACGCTTCGCTATTTGCATAAATATTTTTGCTTGTATATGCATTTATTTGAAATAAACTTATAAGATAATCCAAACATTATGTAAATAAATTATAATAAAAAAACCTAACAAATAAAAGTCAAATGTATTATCATATAACTCACATTTGACCGCTCTGCGAAAGAAAAGCATCATACGATAAATATTGATTCAACGAAATTGCGAAATGAAATGTGATGTGAATAATCTCATTAGTTGAAAATCGATGATTAAATAAATCAACAGAGGGAAAAATGAATTGCCATCCTTTATAGATTATAACATAACAATATTACTGCCAATATTTAATCAATATTAATTGAAGATGAAACATAATTTTTTTTTTATTATTCCGCTTCCATTCTTTTCTAAAGAATTATTTCCCAATTTTCAAATCCAATGTTGAGTTGTATGTGTGATTCAATAATACACTTGAAATCTTATATTATCCATTTTAAATAAAGCAGTCGCTGCAGGAAGGATATGGCGGTGTATATGGAGAAGTAGCTGAACCAACGGAAGAACCTTGTTACGAGAGGAAATGCGTGTACAATGATCACTGTTGTCCGGGTTCCATTTGTGTAAATCTCGACGGAGGTAAATCAAATGAGAAAATATTGAAAAGTCCTTATTAATTAATTAAATTAATTAATCTGATTAATCAAAAATAATAAAAACCCCATATATAAAGTAATAAAATAATATATTTCATATCTCTTTCGTATTGTTGATAAGAAGATAATCACGAGTATGATGTTCTAGTTGTTGGAACATGCATCTATGATTTTGGAATGAAACAAGGCGAGCTCTGCAGACAGGACAGCGATTGTGAAACTGGCTTAATGTGCGCTGAGATGTCTGGACGTGAAACCAAATCGTGCCAGCCGCCGACGACTTCGAACAAGTTGTACAGTACGTTAACGAACATATATTTTATTTTTGTAAAATATAGAATATTTTGTTTTGTAAGAGTTTTACAAAAAGATTCTATTGCACAAATGCGACACATATTATAGATGAGGAGTGTACCATGTCAAGCGAATGTGACATCACCCGTGGATTATGTTGTCAATTACAAAGACGACACCGGCAAACTTCTAGAAAGGTAATAGTACACACTTATTATTTAATTTGTACAACAATCGTATCTAAAATTTTATAAAATATACAAAACAATTGTAGTTTTTTTGGCAAAATTTATATTTTCAAGAAATGTAATTCCTCAGATTTTTCAGATAATTACGCTTCTCTAACGCTTTTATGTAGCAAGAGAAATTTCTTATTGCATTAACCTACGAATATAAATTATTTCTAATATTTTATTAAATAATACAACATTTTAATAATTCTATCAGCAATTATGAAAATATCTCGGCAGGTTTGCTCGTACTTCAAGGACCCTCTGGTTTGCATTGGCCCGGTAGCGACGGATCAGATAAAGTCCGTGATCCAATATACTTCCGGTGAGAAACGGATCACCGGACATGGCAATCGTTTATTCAAGCGGATGCCGTTCGCCTAAGCAGTCATTCGTCGTCATGACAGATGGAAAATATACAGTATAAGATAAGCTATAAAAAAAAATCAAATCCTTCTTTAGTCGTTGTGAAGATACCTACGTTTAAGTCTGTCGATTCGACATTATTTCGATCTCTTTCCTAGTCCTAACTCGACTCCACGCCAACGATACACCTGGAAGTATTGACGATGAGAATCGTGCGATAAAAATGGAACCATATATATATATATATATATATATATATATATATATATATATATAGTTACTTCCGGGGTAAGGGTAAGTAGTTAACTTTCGTAAGACTGTTCTTTCTTTCTAAACTAATTAAGTACGACCGGAACCGTGTAAAAACCGTTAAAACCTAACTAACATAATCTACTAGTAAGTACCGACTCTTACTTAGGTACGTCTAGGGAAGTAAGGGTAACGATAGTCTAGACGTACGTTAGTTGAGTAAGAATAGTAACGACGTGGTGTTAAGTAAGCGTTCGTACGAAGAATAGTTTCTTAACTTAGATTAGTTAGATAAATAAATTATAGTAGGTAAACGGGAACCGGTTCCGTCCTAAAAACGAAAAAGGTTTAAACGTAACTTAAAAGTAAACTTAGTTTACCGGTACCGTGTAGACTATCTTCGTATAGTAGAGAGAGAGAGAGGGGGGGGGGGAGGAATTAGTGAAGCATTCAATTATTCGTGATAATGGTTATAGAAATAAAATATAGTAAGTGAAATAAGCGAATAGGCACAAATGGAGAAGTGGAGTCCTTGTTATCGTCGCAGTTTCAACATTGACTATTTCATTCTGTTAAGCAACGATATTCTTAATATTCTGTAAAATATATATGTTGATCAACAAAGTCTATCTCCGAAAATTTTCAAAGTTTTGGAATATTATATCACAACAATGAGATTGCGTTGCAAACAAGATCTCTTTCAATAATCAAGAAACATCAATGTCAATACTGCGAACGATAATATTATTCGAATGCAAAAAATTTTGCCTTTTAGCTGCATTTTCATACAGTTTTATTACATATATTACAAAACATATATTTTATTACATATATTATAAAATTTAATAAAAAAATTCAAAGTTTACGATACACAATAACAAAAATAATCTTAAAAAAAAATGATATGCAAAGAATGCTTCTAAATTAAATACATGTATTAAAATAAGAACCCAATGGAGAAGATAAAATTTCTAAAAGAATAAAGTTAAATAAAAAAATTTTTAAAGAAATATCCCCAGTTTAAAATGTGTTTTTGAATCTTTTTGATATTTCGAATTTCTATGTCCTTTGTAAAATGCATATCATGATTAGAATAACAAGAAAATGCAGCTAAAAGGAATTACCGTCAATGCATTACAAGTGTTGATGTCTTCAATTGAGGATCGAAAAACTCCACCGAATCAAGGTGCCAGCAGGATGTACGAGAGAAATATGTTTGCAACGGCGGATTTAAGGCATAAATAAACAAACTTTGCTGACAAAATGACATTTTTAGCAAAGCCAAATAACAGTTTATTATTACGAAAATATTTTCCACTTTATTACTGAAACATTCATGAACATTCCAATCACACAAGTGAAGTCGAATAATTTAAAAAAGCTGTCAGTAATCGAGGTTCCTAATGAGCAAGAAACCAGTTAGCTCATAAGTCCGTCATTGCACATCCTGTTGATTATTCAAACGCACAGATCGAAGTATTTATCTTTTTCCCACTTTACGAACGGTCGTCCGGCGGACGTCGCAAGAAAAGTGTAAAGTATCATGGTTCAGATGGTTTTAATGACGAAGAAGTATTTTCTACTGGGTAAAGAGAGAGCTGGAAGAGGCGCAAATATCTTATAATCCGGTTGATGTTTCGAGTTTACCCTTAGAAATTTTAGACATTTATTCGATTCTACGTCGAATATATTTATCCCTTACCCTTCTTCAAAAAGGAACTTTACACACTGTCGAAGAGTGTGTATATTGTACTCGTAATCTAAACCACATTGTGGAGTTAAAAGGTACCATATTTTAGAATGTAGGAGGATTATTACACCATAAACGATACATATCAAAGAGGGAAAAGATTTTTCTCCGCTATCTTATATTCAGAGATATAGATTATATATAAATATACACGTATATGACGACGAAAAGAGAAGACATTTTAATTCTTAGTGGCAAATATAGATGTGCATATTATTCGTTTAAAAAAAAAAGAAGAAGTAAAAGCCCAAAGCAAGTACCAAGAAGAGAAAGTTATTAAAAATCGCGGAAATCGCTCTGTTAAACATTAATCGCGGAAATCGCTCTCTATGTCGAGTAATAATGTCGGGGGGAAATCACTCTATTAATTGTACTAACGTTAATGAAATCGTAATATTAAATATACAATACATATTGTCTGTGGTTAACGTTATGTGAAATATTACTCTGTGGAAAAATTTCATTATAATATTAATCGTTACTGTCGTCGGAGAAAGTGTAATATTAAATAATAATCGTTTGAGATTGATTGCACGATATTTTAAGCGTAATCGTGTGTGGGGGGAAGCGTAAGGGTTTAAGAGTTTTCCGAAATCATGCGTTCGCATATAACAACATAACACAACAACAATAACGACAAAGACAAAACAAGAACAGCAAGATAGTCTAATCTCAGCATGTGTAGAATAACCTGTCACCTATATTATTATTGAAAAGAAAAAAACTCTTAGCAAATCTTTACTTTCCACGCCACTGGTGCTATAATCGCCGAGAGAATTCCCTGAAAGTATATATCCTCTATTATCTCTCGATACTTTCCGAAAATGTTAATCTATCTGCGTAAGAAAACTCAAAACATATCATACGAAATGCCTAATGCATTTAAGAGAGTTCTATAAAATATGAATATTAATTACAAGATACATTATCCTATCGAAATATTATATTTTTATCTTCGATCCGTATGTATATCTAAGCTCTATATATTTACACAATATTCATATATATATATATTTTCTTGAGGCGTATATATACATCTATAAAGTAACATATATATGTATAAAAACACATGCACATTGATATATATCCGCCCTGCTGTATCATACATATATAATGTTCTAACGAAAATTGCAATAATTTTTTTATTAATCGGTTTAGACGTAAGTTCTTTTTTTGCAATTGTGATATTATTTGTGAATGCGGATCGATGCTATTTGTGTAAGTCTGCAATTTTATTTAATACATGTTAATACATTGTTAATACATGATATTTTTTTTAATATCTGGATAATATCTTTAAAAAATATGAACATTTAAAATAAGATGTTTCAAAACTCAAAAATTTTTAGCGATAAACTTGTTTTTATTTTTCAGTGATAAACTTGTCTCATTGTCAATTATATTGTAGATTTATATTAAGTTAATTACGAATATTATAAATATTTTAAAATGAATTTTTATTATTCCGCAAATATGTAAAAAAAATTGTTTTACTAGATGATGAATTCAAAATTATTTATGATATATGTTGCATAACATATACCTCTTCCTTAGATATATAAACAATATCGTATAATTGTCTGCAAATATTTTATATAATAATCTATATATATTTAATTTCGTAGATGACATATATATTTATATACATATACATTTTCTCAAAGATCTCTGTTTCTGTCTGGATATCTTCTTTCTCTTATAATTAGTCGGGCTAAGGAACTGGTTGAAGTATATTGTGAACTGCACACAAAAAAGATACATATCATAGCTTGTAAGAATCTTTGCCTTGTAAGGAAGTTCAGACGCATGTTCACACAGCACGGAAAGCGAAGTGATAGTGAATACGAGCTATATGCATACGAGCTATCACAGATTTTAAGGGAAATTCGGCCGTTTGGCCTTGAGTCGAAAGTACCTCTGCCGAAAGAGTTAATCTCAGCATAAAACTTTATGTGTTTATGACATATATGTAAATGTATCGTTCAAAATTATCATATTGAAAAAGAGTTCTAATAGCTAAATGTGAAATACACGATGGTGCATATGAAATAAACCGAATATATTTCTGTCACTCCTTCTGGCTATCAAATACTTTCTCCTTAAAAGTCTACATTCATATAATTAATATACCCGAATTCATAATTTTTTCGTTCTTTATTAATACTTATTAATACTTATTAATACTTAGATAGATAAACTTTTATATAATAATTATAAAATTATAAAATGATATAACGTAATATTTATATTTTTAGAAGATATATATCATTATTTTAATATAAATAATTATTTTAATGATTTTCTAAACAAATTATGAAATTTTAATTTAAAAATACTTATTAATTAAAAATTGAACTATATTATTCTAAATTAATTATAACTATTATTATTATTATTATTATTATTATTATTAATTAAATTTAAAAATACAGAAACTTATTTTGCTTCTAAAAATTAATTTTAAATGTAAGTAATAAAATTTAATATAATGTAATATAATATATATACATGATATGAATTTACATTTAATATAATATATGATATTAAAGATTGTATTCAATTACTTCATCACTGAAAAAATATTTTATTTCCTTCATTCTTTTACAAATTATTGGTTTACAAAAACATAAATTTTAAAGAAACGCAAAGAACGCAAAAACAAAAGTTTTATTTCCAACATTTTTTAATTTTTAAAAATAATTAATATTTATTGAAAATGCATGGCAATCCATTTCCTCAGTCCCTTATAATTTTCTCACACAATAAACTTAATAATACACAATAAACTTAAATATAAATATTTAATCATACATGGTATTTGCATTTTACTTTTTATTTTATTATTAAAATATTATTTAAAATATTATATCCTCATTCTTTATAGAGGATTAACTTATTTATGTTTTAAGAAGAATTTAGGATTCAAAATTTTTCATTTCTTCAAATGCTAAGGCAGCATTACATAAATATTCCAAATGTTCCTAAACATTAAATAAAATTTCTGATATAAGATCTGATACGTTTTAACATTCTTGTATTATGTTTATATATGTTTTTAACTTATATTATTTATATAATATATTGTTAATTTATATTATTTATATAAATACATTGTAATTAAATTTTTGTTTTGATAAAATTCTTAATTCAATAATTTTCTAATGCTATAAATTTGATATCATACCAAAGAAAGAACAAAATCTGGTCTCGATCGTTTGACAGCTCGCACCGCTATATAAACATTGCATTCTTTTTCGACAGTCATTCGTTCTAATAAAAAACTCAACGCTAAATAAAGACCACATCCAAATGCTCCATCACTGAAAAATTATTTTTTCTTTCTTAGAATATTTCACAAATCATTGTTTTAAAAACAAATAGATTTAAATAGATTTAAAATTGTTTATTTATGAGAAATCTGCTATTTTTTTCTAATTCTCTTTTTTCTATTATTGAATATTTTTTCAAAAAAATAAAAATTGCATTGTCGTGTAGCTATATTATACCTATATCAGATTACGGATTAAAATTGAGACTAAATTGGAATTTAGCCAGTTAAAAAAGAAATTAAGTTTAGTGAACATTGTCTTAATTGGTCAAATTCCAATCCAAATCCAATTCTTTTAATTTGTAGTTTGATACAGGTTATAGATTATGAATAATAATATTATCTTTACTGGCAAAGCGTGACAATCGGCCCACTGCCTCTTGCATAATTTTTCGCAATTAGCCAAAAGTTCACCATCATTGTAACCGGCGGTGGAGATTGATTTCTTCCAGGTTTCCATTCCGTTAAACACAATATAGTTACAAATTGCTCTCTTGAAGGTTTCTACGATAAAGTATTATTACGTTCAATACAAAATAGTTCATAAACATTACCATGTTGAATTGTCTTACCTCAGAATTGTCAACAAGCAGGAATTTCTGTTTCGAATAATACTCTGTTTCTATAACTTCTTTTGCCGTAATGCTCAAATATGGAATTGGTTTAAATTCACCGCCCAAAAGGGCAATTGCGCAACAAGTCTATAAAGTCACGAATACATAACTCATGTACAATAATATTTCTATTGATTAAATACTACACTTCTAACACGTATAATAGATACACTTCATCAACTTAGATTTTATAAATTTTAATTAATTAATTTATATTTTATCCAAATAAAATAAAAAATTAAAAAATACTTAAAAAAATAATTATTTATTGCAAATATGTAACTTATGTTCTACAAATGCGTTCATTTTTTGTCAAACGTATTTTGAATGTATAAGAATATATACGGTATCTTGAAGATCAGGTGGTTGCAGCATAAGGACAAGTTTAACTCTGAACTCGGCAATCATTCGCCAAAAATCATTCAACGTTGAAGGCATAGGAAGTTGTGTAGCTAAGTATTGTTTCTGAAGTGTTACACCGTCCACATAAACGCCAGATATATAATCGCTATTCTCATCCCATTCCGGGTATCTTGTTAAATAAATTCTATTGGACATATCTAGAAAGTAAAAAAATAAATCTTTATACATCTAATATTTATATCATTATAAACATTCAATGTTAATTACGCATAATTTGTTTTCCTATATTCTTAATGAGTAAACATTTTAAATATAAAAGAAATGATAAAATAATTTGTAATATATCGGAATATGAAGCAACAAACTTGAAATCAATTCCGGAAATCTATTTTTGGCTCGATTACGCTCCGACAATGACGGTAAAGGAGTAACTTGAGTAGAGAGTAATCCCAGAGCCTTATCTCGCCAGGCGGTATGCTGTAATCTAAGAATTACGGCTTAAGAAACTTGTATAACATTATTTTAATTCATGTAGATATAAAAATAAATTTTAGTTTATTTTAAAATACCTCTGTTGAAGAATTGGTATTTGTTCCTTTAATTCCTCAATTCGTGTTGGTAAACTTTCGTAATATCCATTTTGGAATAGAAAATAATATAAAGTGGATATCGGAACAGAAAATAAGCATTCAATCAATATCAAATGTGCTAGTAGATATTGTTGTGTATTATTTATTATATTCGCCCTTTCGTTCATCATGGACGCCGTTTGGGCGAAAACGTCGATCATCTAAGCAATTTAATTTACGTAATTTTTCATGTATTAAAATGTAAATGTAAATGTATTTAAATGTATATTGAATGTAATTAATAAATTCAAATAATCAAAGCAACTGTAAAATAACATATTATTATTGCCTTTTCAACTTTTGCACGACGGAGACAAATATCGCATAATATAATAACACCGGTTCTTCCAATGCCACCACTACAATGAACTACAACAGGTTTGTTCTCAGATATTGCCGATAATTTATTCAAGTATGTAACTATGGAGTGCGTGTACAAAGGCATATTGTAATCTGGCCAAGCCGTATAATGAAGTTGTTGTACCTGTGATTGTCAATGTCATTTAATATGAAAGTTATTGTGTACAATATTATATATTAAATAGATATATTAAATATTAATATTATATATTAAATAAAAATGTTGATACTTTTCGAGTTTCCTCTTTATATGTGACGAAGAACGTTCTAAAACAATAATCAGCAAAGACATTCTGCCTCACGTTTAATACATTGATATCTCCGTATTTCTTCTCTTTTTCATCAACCGGCCAATATTGCTCGCACTTTATCTGTAAAAATTATAAAATTTGATATTTACAGAAAATAAAAAAATTGACATAAATTTGGGATCTTGCAATATTTTTCTAGGTCTTGTATTTATAATTATTGTCATATAATTAAAAATGATTGTGTTTCGATATTTATTACAATTATTATAATTTAATAAAAAATAAATATTTACCTTACCATCTTCAACAACATTTGTCAACATACAGATAACATGAACATTCTCCTGCCAAATCATGCGCCAAAAATCGGAAACTGTAGTCGGTGTAGGACCTTGTGTTGCTATATAACGCTTATTTATTTTATATCCCTTTTGAATAATCATTAATAACACTTAAAAATTAACATAGTAAATACAGAAGCAAATAATTTTACAGCTTATATTTCGACGCTACGATAAGCTACTCATTATAACAAATTATGACTTACACTGATGTAATTAGCGTTGATATAATCGGAGTAAGCATTGTCCGGAAGTTTTTGCAATATTACACGTGTTTTATCATCTGTAGAAAGTAATACAATATTAATTTGTCATTGCGTAAGTACAATTTATATCTGTATAATTATTTTGAACATACACGTTATGACACTTCTGTATCTATTTTTAAATTTGTTTTCCGGCAATTTTCCGTAATTGCATGGCTGTGATTGTTCTGGAAGCATCTTGAAAAAAAAATCTCAAAATAATATCTTATCATGTTATACATAGAATAACAAGTTTACATCGAAGACAGAATTTTTATTTTTATAAATTTCGTATATGAGCAAAATTTTAAGCTATTTAACTTAATGAATACAAAGATCCTGAAAAAATCTTAAAAGACAATCTCATAATGTATGTAGAGATAGCAAAATTGCAAGCAGTTTGTTAGCAGATTGACAGCAAATTTGATCATATTTTGATTGCAAATCCATGTCAACAACAAAGCCTGTTTAACCTGTTTAACATGCTATGACAACAGATTGACGACAGAAGCTAAGTAGAGCTTGCCACCAAACTGCTCGTAACAAATTCTGCTCGGTGTCTGCCGCCAATTCGCTCGTCTGCACTGCTTGTCAGCAGGTTCCGTCACATTTCTGGCAATTGGGCAATATAATCGGATAAAATAGATCTTGTATTAGATTTGTTACTTTTCTAACATCAAAAACTTGTAGCAGCTTTCAAAAATCTGCTCGCACACGTTTGGCTATCTAGGTAGTAATATAAAGAAAAATTACTTTGTATTGCTTATCCAATAAGTTCGACTCTATTGCCCGCCGGACATAATCTTCGAAATCTTCTACTTTGACTAAAGATGACAATATCTCCTCTTCTTTATTGTCATTTATAATGGCAAGTGGCAGTACTTCCGAAATAATTTCACTCGATAAGGATTGTCTGTCAGCAATACTTGAAATATCTTGCTCTGAATATGATACAGCGGATATCGACTCGTATTCATGATCAGAGTTCTGATGACTTATTACATCTGGCATTATCTCTTCAGTAGGTTGTTGATACTTTCTATTAAAATAATATGTCTAATTATAGTAATATAAAATTAAATATATTCTATCATAAAATCGTATTTGCTGTATCAATAGATTCCTTATTTTAATACTTATACGGTGGATATTGATATAAATTAGAAATTGGTATAAGCAATGTTATCATTTCCTTAAAGAAAAAGGAAGAGATATTACCTTTGACATAAGTAACAAGATATGCTTGCTATAATGAGATATATTACAAGAGGTATAAACCATACTCCGTGATGCATAGATGAAACTTTATTGGTATTGATTAATTTGCAAGTATAATTGGATTGTT